CCGCCTCCACTGCCGCCACCGACACCTCCACTTCTGCCACCACCCCCACCACCACCCCAACTCCCCCCGCCGCGTCCACCGGCGCCTCCACCTCCCCCGCTAGCTCCTCCAGCGCACCAGCCCCCCTTGCCCTTGCCAGCGCGACGTCTCCCGCTAGGGGTAGACGCCGCACCGACCGGCTCAAGCCCAACAAGGTCGGCCGCAGCAGCAGAGGCAACAGAGGGCAAAAGGGGGGAGGGGGAACACCCCTCAAAGATGGGGGTGCGCGGGTCACCACGACAGGCTCCTACAACGACTATGCTCTTCTCCGCTGCTAGGAGGGCTTCTCAAGGAGGTCAGCAGTGAGAGTGGTGGGACAGACTGAGAGGAAGTGGTCCCTGACTACGCGAAGGGAGTCAGGGAGGCGGGTGACGATGTAGTAGAGAGTGATGTACATGGGGGGGGGGGGGGTTCTTGGCGCAGAACTCAGCAGGAAGCGCAGCGCGGTAGCGAGTGTCACTAGTGCGGAGGTGCGTAATGAGGTCAGCGACTGTGGAAAAGGCAGCAAGGTCAGGTAAGAGGTACGGTAGCATGAGGCGGCTCAGTGCAGCAATGGCAGGGGAGGAGTAGCGTGCAACTACAGCGTCGTACAAGGTCTGAGCACTCTTGTACTAGCTAAAGTGCGCACGCTCAGAGGTAGGCAGGTGGCGACGCACAGCAAGACGTGCAGCAGCATCGCGCGTGGCCCACTGTGAGCGAATAGTGGCGTCACCATCAGCAGCGGGGGCAGGAGAGGCACCAGAAGTGAGGTCAAAGAGAGAGAGAGCGTCTGCCCTATCGCACTGTAAGAAAAGCTGCAGGTCATCTACCCAGACGTCAAAGTCAATGGCCCTACCCTCAGCGTCAAAAGTGAGAACACTAGGGGTAGCCATGAAAGGAGTAGACTAGCAGCGCGGACAGTAGGGTAAAGGCAGTGCAGTGACAGAAGCGCTGCTCTTACCAGACAGGGCAGCTCGGCGGCGCGGGCGGGTCGGATGCAGGGCGACTCGGCGGCTCGACTGTACGGCTGCTGGGTGGCTCGGCGGCTCGGCTGCTGGGCGCTTGGCGGCTCGACTGCAGGGCGGCTCGGCGGCTCGGCTGCTCGGCTGCTGGGCGGCTCGGCGGTTTGACTGCAGGGCGGCGCGGCGGTCGGCCGCTCGGCTGGGTGTGGCGGCTCGGGCGGCTCGGGTGGCGGGCGGCGCTGCGGCAGGCTACGGTGCCTGCGCCGTAGTGGTGACGGCGGGGCCGCGAGGGGACGGCGGCGAGGCCGGCAGAGGCGGCGCCGGGGCCGCACAGGTAGGCGTTGAGGCCGCAGGTAGGTCACGGGGCCGCAGGTATGCGGCGGGGCCAGTAGGTAGGCGCCGGGGCCGCACAGGTACGCGCCGGGGCCGCATGTAGGCGCCGGGGCCGCAGGTAGGTGGCGGGGCCGTAGGTGGGCGCCGGGGCCGCAGGTAGGCGTCGGGGCCGCAGGTTGGTGTCGGGGCCGCAGGTAGGTGGCGAGGCCGACAGGTAGGCGCCGGGGCCGCAGGTAAGGGCGGCGGGGCCGCAGGTTGGTGGCGGGGCCGTAGGTGGGCGCCGGGGCCGCAGGTAGGTGGCGGGGCCGCAGGTAGGTGGCGGGGCCGCAGATAGGTGGCGGGGCCAGCAGGTAGGCAACGGTGCTGCAGGTAAGGGCGGCCTCAGGGCCGCAGGGCGGCACGAGGGCCGCGGGGTAGGCTACGAGGCCGCAGGGCGGCAGATCGGGGCTGGGAAAGGGCGGCGCGAGGGCCGCAGGGTAGGCGACGAGGCCGCAGGGCGGCGGGTCAGGGCCAGGAAGGGCGGCGCGAGGACCGCGAGGCAGGCGACGGGGCCGCTAGGGCAGCCGATCGGGGCCGCAAGGGCGGCACGACGGTGTCGAGAAAGGGGAGCGCGACTTGGGCTAGGGCTGAGCGCGCTCCGGGCAGGAAAAAAAAATCGAATTGGTGGGCCCTAGGAACAGTTCACACGAGGGAACCTGCTCGATACCATGAGAAAACTGAAACGAGAATGAATCAACTATGAAAGAGTTGGGTACAAGTACTAACCCTAATTGGGTTGTACCCCATATGGGCTACCCCACTACAGCCTACACAAAAGCATAAGCTATAATGTTCTGACAGAGACTGGAGCACAGAACGAAGCACATTGCTCTTCGCTACTTCCTTGCTCGTGAGCTAAAGCAGCGTGGTCAGCTGCGTCTTGCGTACGTGGCCTCTGAGGCCAACACTGCTGATATCTTCACCAAGGCGCTTGCGCCTTGTGATCATCAGCGCTTCTGTACTCAGCTGGGTCTTGTGCCTGCCTTGCCTCACTTGCTCACCTCTTGACCTTGCTTGTACTGTTACATATATATATATACACCTGCTCTTGCTTGTCTAGCCTTATATATATATATATATGTACTCCTGCATGTGAACTGGCCTTGTGGCCTTGAACTTGTGCTCGGAATGTGTGGTGACTTTGTGATCCACCCTGAGCTTGCTTTGCTTTGCTTTGCTTGACTGGTCTTGTGACCCCTTGTTCTCCCCACTTTGCCTATGGGGGTGTGTCAGAACATTATAGCTTATGCTTTTGTGTAGGCTGTAGTGGGGTAGCCCATAAGGGGTACAACCCAATTAGGGTTAGTACTTGTACCCAACTGTTTCATAGTTCATTCATTTCTCGTTTCTTATCAGGCAGAACGTAGGTACGATTTTCAGTCGATTGTTGTTGTTGTTGTGGCGCCGTTGAGTGTGAAACGCGAATTCGGGTACTAATACCTTTCTCTTGTGTCGTTCTTCTTTCAGGTCCATGTCTTGCTGCTCGGCGTGGATTTCGGCGCAAAGTGCTGCTTCAGAAATTTTCCCGTGGGCTCGTAGTATGGCGCGAGTGGAGCGCCAGTGAGGACCAAGACCCGCCGATGACAACCGTGACAAAGGCGTCCTCTGAAATCGATCCTCCACATCAAAGAAGCTTGTCGCGCAGCTCGCGGCAGCGACTTATATACGCCATTCCCTTCTCGCCTGGCTTCATTTCGATTGTTGTCAGCTGCGCCATTAACCGACTTTGGTTCACGCTGTCTGTTGCTTGATACAGGCTCTTCAAGTGATTGTACGCGAGCTCCCCGGAGTTGCCGTAGCCTCGGTAAGACCATATGTTTTGTTGTTGAGTTGGAGTGATGTTCCTCAGTAGTATCGTGTACGCCATCATCGATTGATAGGTGTACTGCTGCTTCTCATACTGTGTCCCGTTTGTTGGGTATGGCAGGGACCCGTAGAAGAAGCCAAGGATTTGCGCTCCTTCCATCATCAGCTCGAATTCGAACGACCAGGTAAAGAAATCCTTCTTGTTGAAGGGTTTTGTTGTTTGCAGTTTTAGAACGTGCGCGAACTTGCGATTGAACTTGTAGTGCGTCCAGCGTTCTCTCTTGTCCCGGTGCAGGTTGTGGTTGTGGCATGAAGCTGACAGAGCTGCGCTGGGGCTCGTACGGAGCGAAGGTAGGTTGCTGTTGTTGATTCCCGCGTGCTTAGGATGAGCCATCGAGACTCATGGGCGTCACGTTGTTGTTGTTGTTGCTGTTGTTTGATTGCGCAGGTGCTCCTTGCTGATGCTGCTCGTAGAAGGACATGAAGGAGAAGAACTTCTCCATCATGCTTGGATCGAAGCCCGCGCCTTGGTTTGTGGGTGTTTCAGTAGACCCAGCTGCCGGTCTCGTTGTTGTGCCCTCCTCTGTCTGTAGGCCAGAGGCAGGAGGTGGAGTAGGAGTAGTACCAGGAGAGCTGTTGGAGGAGCTCCTCTCCTTTCTGGTAGACATGTCTCTTGGTGTCTGACTCGAATTCTGACACTTTGATTGTGTCAGACTCGAATTCTGACAGAAATCTGACGCGCCGCTCGCGCGAAATTTGCACGCGAAGGCGGTTTTTCGTAACGAATATAAGACCCCCCCTGCCCCAAATTTAGCTTTACACTCTAAATAACAGATTGATATATGATAAATAAGTGTACCCTGGGTCTTAAAAAATTGCAACCGCCATAATGTCCACCCAAGCATATTTTTAAGCATTTGTAGAGAGTCCCCCGGGTCTTCTAGCCGGAACTATACGGTACCATGTTGGGCTGATTGCCCCTTAGGATCTTTGGTAGGGTTAAACTCTGGGTAGAGTGATGTAGTAGCGGAAGCGTTTAAATGAAGTCCTTGAACCACCTTGCGCTGGTATGTGAGGGCAAAGTAAGTTGATTAAAACAAGCAAGTACAAAGGTTTATATAAGAGTACAACGAATACGAAGAGATATAATTAAACTGTTTTACTGTTGCGGTTCGATACAGTGCGACTCGCTGGTGCCTCGATATGCTCAACTTCGCTTGTGCCTTGGTGTTTCGACACGACAGAGGCGCTTAAGATTGTTTGTTCTCAACAATCTTGAGATCCACCCTGAGTGTTGTCCTGTCTTGTTGCTCCTCTTGACTGGTTTTGTGACCATTTGTTTCGCTTGCTTGCTTTGATGCCCCTCACTTAGCCTATGGGGGTGTGTCAATTTTTTTCTTAGCTTGTTAGGCTATAGTGCGTAACGTTGTAGGGAGTACAACCCATTTATAGGGTTGGTATTTGTACTTCTCACACATCTAATGCATTCATCCCGCTTTGTGTGTAATATTAAATCTATCTTGTCATTTACATTCACTATAATCAGGGTTCCAACTACAAAAGACTTCCACCACCTGCAGGGCTTATCTTGTCAAACATCCTTTCTTATTCCAACACCGTAGACTGTACATACGGTAGTAGTAGTATATCCCTAAAAAAACATGCACATAATGATTAAAAGGTGGTAATCGCCAAGACCGATCAAGCAATCTGCAGCAAACATGGTACCCAAGCCAGTTGTCATCCAAAATCGTGCTCCCGTTCCATGCACCTCTTAACAACATTTGCACAGCCAGTGGTGTGGTGGTTCCCAAGACACGAGGCAGTGTGGCAGGGTTGTGTCTAGCCCTGGGAGTTGAGCAGCATGCGCAGAGTGTTGTTGGGCGTGAGGAACTTGTGTGGCAGCGGCTGGCCGTTGACGGGCGACGTGTCGCGTGTCTTGAGCCACTCCTCTATGCTGCTGCGCTCGTATGTGAAGCCGTCTGCCGCCACCACCGGGTCACTCATGCGCTCCTGCCAGAGGGCAAGGGGACAACCCATCAGAGGTGAGGTGAGGAATGAGTGAAGTGGAGGGAGAGTGGGCATGGCACCTGGGAGAGCGGGCATCACACCTGGGAGAGCGGGCATCGCACCTGGGAGAGCCGGCAGAGCACCTGGGAGAGCCGGCAGAGCACCTGGGAGAGCCGGCAGAGCACCTGGGAGAGCGCGCATCGCACCTGACTGAGAGGGCAGAGCAGCTGCGAGTCCATGTGGCCGCGGCGGCGCTCCGCTGCCTCCTTGCAGCGCTCCGCCAGGGCCACCAGCGCCGGCTGCAACTCCCGGTCCAGATCTGGCCGCCGCGCCCGCTGCCGGTCCGCACAGCGCAGCGCCAGCCTCGCAAACTCCACCGCCACCTCGCGCTCCCACTCGCCCGCTGACGTGTCCAGGCGCGCCAACACAATGTCCACGGCGCGCGCCAGCCCTGCCGCGCCCGAGTTGTAGGCACCGCTGCCCACGAGGTCGACGAGCAGGCGCTGCACGCCCTTGACGTGCGGCTCGCCCGTGAGCAGCTGCAGCATGATGAGCCCCAGCGCATAGATGTCCGACAGCACACTGATCTCACACGTCACCACCTCCTCCGGGTCAATGTACCCCGCCGTGCCGCGCACGCGCGCCGTCACGTTGTCGTCCTCCGCGATGAGGCGCGCCAGGCCCACGTCGGCGAGCTTGGAGCCGCGGTTGCCGTCCAGCAGCACGTTGTCGGGCTTGAGGTCGCGGTGAGCGATGGGCGGGGTCGTGGTGGTGCAGAAACAGCAGCGCCGACGCCACCTCTGACGCCACCCTCACCCGCTCCCCCACAGACAAAGGCCGCCGCCCACCACCCCGGGCAGCGGGGTTTAGGTGGTCCTGCAGCGAGCCACCTGGGAGGTACTCGTAGACGAGGCACATGGCGTCGGGGCAGTGGCCCATGAGCAGCACGATGTGCGGGTGGCGCATGCGGCTGAGCACCTCCACCTCCATGCGGTACTCGCTGGGCCCCTGCCAACCCCCGCCCTCCAGCCGCTTCACCGCCACCTGGCACCCCAGCAGTCGCCCCTTGTGCACCTGCCAGCCGCACAGTGCGTGGGGGAGAGGAGTGAAGGGGGGAAGGAGAGGAGTGAACGGGGGGGGGAAGGCAAGCAAGGCAATTACTGAGCTTGCCAGGCACATGCTCACTGTGTGCGTGCTTGGTGTTACCTCCGCAAAACGCAGGATTGGTGTGGCATTGAATGTGGTTTATCCAACCACCCCTGTCCCTTGGCGAGGGAGCCAAGCTTGGCAGGGGGAGGGGGAGCCAAGCTTGGCAGGGGGAGGGGGGGCCAAGCTTGGCAGGGGGAGGGGGGGCCAAGCTTGGCAGGGGGAGGGGGAGCCAAGCTTGGCAGGGGGAGGGGGAGCCAAGCTTGGCAGGGGGAGGGGGAGCCAAGCTTGGTAGGGGGAGGGGGAGCCAAGCTTAGCAGGGGGAGGGGGAACCAAGCTTGGCAGGGGGAGGGGGAGCCAAGCTTGGCAGAGGGAGGGGGAGCCAAGCTTGGCAGGGGGAGGGGGAGCCAAGCTTGGCAGGGGGAGGGGGAGCCAAGCTTGGCAGGGGGAGGGGGAGCCAAGCTAGGCAGGGGGAGGGGGAGCCAAGCTTGGCAGGGGGAGGAGGAGCCAAGCTTGGCAGGGGGGAGGGGGAGCCAAGCTTAGCAGGGGGAGGGGGAGCCAAGCTTGGCAGGGGGAGGGGGAGCCAAGCTTGGCAGGGGGAGGGGGAGCCAAGCTTGGCAGGGGGAGGGGGAGCCAAGCTTGGTAGGGGGAGGGGGAGCCAAGCTTAGCAGGGGGAGGGGGAACCAAGCTTGGCAGGGGGGAGGGGGAGCCAAGCTTGGCAGAGGGAGGGGGAGCCAAGCTTGGCAGAGGGAGGGGGAGCCAAGCTTGGCAGGGGGAGGGGGAGCCAAGCTTGGCAGGGGGGAGGGGGAGCCAAGCTTGGCAGGGGGAGGGGGAGCCAAGCTTGGCAGGGGGAGGGGGAGCCAAGCTTGGCAGGGGGAGGGGGAGCCAAGCTTGTCAGAGGGAGGGGGAGCCAAGCTTGGCAGGGGGAGGGGGAGCCAAGCTTGGCAGGGGGAGGGGGAGCCAAGCTTGGCAGGGGGAGGGGGAACCAAGCTTGGCAGGGGGAGGGGGAGCCAAGCTTGGCAGAGGGAGGGGGAGCCAAGCTTGGCAGGGGGAGGGGGAGCCAAGCTTGGCAGGGGGAGGGGGAGCCAAGCTTGGCAGGGGGAGGGGGAGCCAAGCTTGTCAGAGGGAGGGGGAGCCAAGCTTGGCAGGGGGAGGGGGAGCCAAGCTTGGCAGGGGGAGGGGGAGCCAAGCTTGTCAGAGGGAGGGGGAGCCAAGCTTGGCAGGGGAGGGGGAGCCAAGCTTGGCAGGGGGAGGGGGAGCCAAGCTTGGCAGGGGGAGGGGGAGCCAAGCTTGGCAGGGGGAGGGGGAGCCAAGCTTGGCAGGGGGAGGGGGAGCCAAGCTTGGCAGGGGGAGGGGGAGCCAAGCTTGGCAGGGGGAGGGGGAGCCAAGCTTGGCAGGGGGAGGGGGAGCCAAGCTTGGCAGGGGGAGGGGGAGCCAAGCTTGGCAGGGGGAGGGGGAGCCAAGCTTGGCACTAAGTGGCAAAATACGCGTATTGCGTATATACGCGTGTCGTATATACGCACGCGTTTATACGCTATACGCAAAGGTCCCGAGACCCTAGATACGCTATTTCGGGCAGGTTAAAAAAACATCGGGCAGCTAAAATAAGACCCCCCTGCAATACTACTGGGGTAAGTTTCCACGGGGGTTGGATTTCCCGGTTTTTTTTCCCGATTTTTTTTTTTTCACCAACATTACAATGACAACTACTCATCCCATACTACTACTACTACACATACTACTACTCACGCTAGTCCAGATCAATTAACCCACCTACGCATACTCATCCTCCAAAATGTCGTCTTCCCCCTCCTCCTCCTCCTCGTCCCCCTCCATCACATTGTAGCCCTCGGGCACGGGAGGCTCCGGGATGTTCCCGAGCACCACACCCGGCATGACATCTGCACGGGAATGCCATTTGCGCACAATGCTCCAGTTGTGCGCAACAAAAACCAAATCCCGGCACTTGGCAGAGCCAAGCCGGTTCCGGCGGGCCGTGTGCACCCCATCCCACGTTGACCATCCCCTCTCACATGGTGAAGCCGACACGGGCTGAGAGAGAGTCCTGATGGCTAGGGTTGCCAGCTTTGATGCGTCAATGCCGTGCCACTGCCACCACTTTACCATGTCATACTTGCCTTGCTTGACCAAGTTCCTCTGAGCAATTGCATCCCCCATCGCGAAGCTTCCCTTCATATCCAGAAATGCCCTCACCCCGTCGTGCAGTTCCATCAAAACCTCGCCAATGTCATCCCCATCATCCCCCTCCTTCCCGTAATTGCACAGGTGCTCGGCGTGCTGAGTGATGTACGTTTTGAATACCCTAGTGCACTCCGCGTCTGAGCCGAAGATGTCTTCATCCTGGTTCTTCGGGTTGAGAATTCTGCCCGCAACGTGCATGGGGCAGGCCAGGCTGTCGTCCCACCTGTTCTTCAGCAGGCGGCGGATGTTCACTTTGTCGGAGTAGCTCAGCTGCTCCTCATCCTCCTCCACCACTGTCCCCACATCCTTGGTCAACTGCAGCATCACATCATACATCCGGCCCATCATCCCCTTGGCATCCCCATCGGTCTTGCGCATTGCCATGAACGAGAGCTTCATCAGCTTGGAGAAAAACTCCGCCGTCCGCCACCACGCGTCATCAAGAACTTGTGACGCAAACTTATCCGCAGACTTCTTCCTATCCCCAACTGCCCAACCCTTCCACACATCAGACACCACCACCTGTGCAAGCGACTGCCGCAGCTCACAGAGACGGGACACAACAATGTACTGTGTCCCGAAACTGGTTCCAGCCGGTTTCAGCGCCTGCAGCATCTTTGCACCCACCAGTCCGAGGGTCCTCAAGTATCCCCTTGTCCAGTGGTGGTTGCGGACGAAGGAGCTGATCTCGCCCGCAGTGTCCACCACCTTCTTGGCCCACGTCATCTTGCCGACGTCCTCCATGAAGAGGTCCAACACGTGGGTGGCGCATGGCACGTGTTGAATGTGCGGCCATTCCGCGATCAGCTCGTTGCACGCCATCGCGTAGTTGGACCCACCGTCCGTGCAGAACGCCACCACGTTATCGGGACCGACCTCCTCCACCACGGGCCTGAGGATGCTGGCGACATAACCGCCAGTTTTGGTCTCCATGCGACAGTCCACGCTGTCCTTGAACACCGCACCGCTCTCGTTGACGAGAAACACGTTCGCCTGGGGGCGACCGTTCTTATCAGTCATCATATCAGAAGAAATTGTCACGCCGGTCCGCTTCCAGCTCGCCTTCACTCCAGAAAGCCCTCTGTCGATGTTCTCGCAACAGAGTCGCAAGCCCGCCCCGCCGATGAACGTCCTCGTCGGGGGGACGTATCCTGTGCCGGAGTCACTAATGGCACAAACGGCGTTGATGAAGAGAGGGTGCGCCGCCACGCGCTCCGGGATTCGACACGCCGCGAACATCAGCGCCAACGCCTCGTGTGCATCGCGCTTCGCAGCTGCCGCATCCGTCTCCAAGTAGTCAGTAATGCGGCTCCTCTTTCCGCCGCTGGTGACCGACGCAATGGCATCCGATGTCGCCTGGCGGCGCTGATCCGCCGCTGCAGCCTTAGCCTCATACTTCTTCCGGATGGCAGCCCGTACTTCAGAGGGGGCTTCCTTGCATAGCGCCACTTCGCGGCGCCTCATCTTCCTCCAACTCGCCAAGTGCTGCGCGCAGCGGGTGGCGGCGCCAGAAAAGACATTGCAGCAGTACCTGCATTCGTATTGCTGCGATTTCCCCTCGTCCACCTTTATGCGGCGGAAATGCTTGAACACCTCGTGGTCGACATCGGGAAGGTAAACTCGCGCCGACTGAACAGGACTGTCCGTGCTGGTATTAGGAGGGGGAGTGGACGGGGTCGGGCTAACATCTGCAGAAGACATTCTAAAAAGGTCTGTGAAGGTACATGGGAGGATGCATTGACGAGAGAGAACAATACCTGATTGTGAAGTAGCGTGGGATGGAGTGGTGGGGAGAAGTTGAATTGGAGGGAGTTTGTAGGTCGAGAGCGGTACAAATTGGTGGAACTCCAATGTGGAATGTCAAGGACATCGCGACTCCAAACATTGGAGCCACGTAACCCAACTCACAGTCGCGAGGCCGCGAATTGAAAGCACGGAAACCAACTCACCTCCATACATTGAAGCCACGTCCAGGCCAGGGTAGATCTCGGACGTGCATTTCGAGCACGGCATCTTCTTCGCCGTGAGAAGACGAAACTTTTCAGATATACAATTTTTTTTTTCGATTTTGGGCTGCCCTGAAAAAAACCCCCGAGCGTATTGCGTATTCGTTAGCGTATAGCGTTTTGCGTGTATACGCAAGCGGATAAACGCTAAACGCTTAAAGGCAAAAGCGTATTTTGCCACTTAGGCTTGGCAGGGGGAGGGGGAGCCAAGCTTGGCAGGGGGAGGGGGAGCCAAGCTTGGCAGGGGGAGGGGGAGCCAAGCTTGGCAGGGGGAGGGGGAGCCAAGCTTGGTAGGGGGAGGGGGAGCCAAGCTTGGCAGGGGGGAGGGGGAGCCAAGCTTGGCAGGGGGAGGGGGAGCCAAGCTTGGCAGGGGGAGGGGGAGCCAAGCTTGGCAGGGGGAGGGGGAGCCAAGCTTGGTAGGGGGAGGGGGAGCCAAGCTTGGCAGGGGGAGGGGAGCCAAGCTTGGCAGGGGGAGGGGGAGCCAAGCTTGGCAGGGGGAGGGGGAGCCAAGCTTGGCAGGGGGAGGGGGAGCCAAGCTTGGCAGGGGGAGGGGGAGCCAAGCTTGGCAGGGGGAGGGGGAGCCAAGCTTGGCAGGGGGAGGGGGAGCCAAGCTTGGCAGGGGGAGGGGGAGCCAAGCTTGGCAGGGGGAGGGGGAGCCAAGCTTGGCAGGGGGAGGGGGAGCCAAGCTTGGCAGGGGGAGGGGGAGCCAAGCTTGGCAGGGGGAGGGGGAGCCAAGCTTGGCAGGGGGAGGGGGAGCCAAGCTTGGCTAGGGGGAGGGGGAGCCAAGCTTGGCAGGGGGAGGGGGAGCCAAGCTTGGCAGGGGGAGGGGGAGCCAAGCTTGGCAGGGGGAGGGGGAGCCAAGCTTGGCAGGGGGAGGGGGAGCCAAGCTTGGCAGGGGGAGGGGGAGCCAAGCTTGGCAGGGGGAGGGGGGAGCCAAGCTTGGCAGGGGGAGGGGGAGCCAAGCTTGGCAGGGGGAGGGGGAGCCAAGCTTGGCAGGGGGAGGGGGAGCGGGGGGAAGCCAAGCTTGGCAGGGGGAGGGGGAGCCAAGCTTGGCAGGGGGAGGGGGAGCCAAGCTTGGTAGGGGGAGGGGGAGCCAAGCTTGGCAGGGGGAGGGGGAGCCAAGCTTGGCAGGGGGAGGGGGAGCCAAGCTTGGTAGGGGGAGGGGGAGCCAAGCTTGGCAGGGGGAGGGGGAGCCAAGCTTGGCAGGGGGAGGGGGAGCCAAGCTTGGCAGGGGGAGGGGGAGCCAAGCTTGGCAGGGGGAGGGGGAGCCAAGCTTGGCAGGGGGAGGGGGAGCCAAGCTTGGCAGGGGGAGGGGGGAGCCAAGCTTGGCAGGGGGAGGGGGAGCCAAGCTTGGCAGGGGGAGGGGGAGCCAAGCTTGGCAGGGGGAGGGGGAGCCAAGCTTGGCAGGGGGCGAAACGTTGATAGGGGATCGAACAGGGACTGTGGGAAGCGGAAACGATACGGACCAGTGAAGAGGGAAACAGGAATGCGGGGTGCAGCAAAGCGAGCATCCATTGAGGGCAGTGGCAGCGCTGTTTGTCTAGTGAGAGCGATCAGTTCGGCTGAGAGCGGCGTCCAGCCACTCTCTCAGCTCGCCTCTTGCCATCCCACACAGAGGCCGGCGGGGAAGGGCGGGCAGGGCGGGGGGAAGGAGAGGAGGAAGGGGGAAGAAGGGGGTAGGGACGAAACGGGATGATAGGAGAAAAGGTTGGAAGGGGGAGGGGAGGCGGCGTTGAGGGGCAATGCGGGGGGGAAGGTGGCAATGCGGGGGGGGGGGGAGGCGGCAATGCGGGGGGGGGGAGGTGGCATTGCGGGGGGGGGGGGCGGCGTTGAGGGGCAATGCGGGGGGGGAGGCGGCAATGCGGGGGGGGAGGCGGCGTTGAGGGGCAGTGCGGGCTGACCATGCCGAAGGCGCCGCGGCCCAGCAGGTTGGCGTCGCTGAAGTTGTCAGTGGCGGCCGCCAGCTGCGCCAACGTGAACTGCCGGCACTCCGCGCCCCCCCCGCCCTCCGTGAGGCGCGCGCTGCTGCCCCCCGCGCTGCCGATGGAGCGCGTGTCGAAGTCGCTCCACGAGGAACTGAGGCCCGCGTTCGACCCCATGCTCATGTTGACGCCCATGTTGTCCCACGACGCGCCCCCCGCCCCCCCCGACGCCTGCCGCCCCGGTAGCGGCATCGGCGCCTGCTGCTGCCTCCCCGCGCCCCACCCCGTCCCCCCGCCCGACCCCATTCCCCCGCCCGACCCCCTCGCCGCGGCCACGTGTGCGCCTGGCGGGCTGCTGGTCTGAGCGGAACGCGCCGCGTACGGCGCGGCGCGCATGCCCTGAGAGCCGGCGGCGGATGGAAACTGGAGGTGGAAGGAGAGGGCGGGAGCGGGTGGAGAGGGGGCAGCATTGGGGGTTGCGCTGCAGCACGACGTGGGAGAGCGCGCGGTTAAGGTCGCGCACAGAGCGCAGCACTGCGCGCGGACTAACACGGCAGAGCGCAGCAGAGCGCGCAGACTAACACGGCAGTGCGCAGCAGTGCGCGCGGACCAACACGGCAGCGCGCAGAGCACGCAGGGAACTGCTCGAGAAGGAAGGGTCGGGGGAGGGACGACGAGAGAAGAGCACACTGAAGAGAGAAGAAGAGGAGACAAGGGGGGGGGGGAGCAAGCCAGCGTAAGAAACGGAGCGATTAAGGGGGAGAGGGAATGGAGGCGGTGGAGGGTGGGCAAGCGCACCCCGACGCCTCTTTCGGGGAAGGGCCGCGCGCCGTACGATGGGGAACCCGCCATCCCAGGCGCCAACCCGTCCTTCCGCGGGCTGCCACCCGCCATTGGCGCGCTGCCGCGCGGGCCGGCCGCGATTCCGCGACTGTCGTGCGACTGCGAGCGCTCCACCGCCGCCAACGCGTCGCGGCTCGCATTGGGGCTGGCCTCGAAGCTGGTCCGCCTGGGCGGCCCCCCCGGCGACACCGTCATGGCGTCGACGCGCGCCCCCAGCATGGACGCCACGTCCGCCGCGCCGAAAGGGCTGGCTTGAGGCGCAGCGGGACCGGCGGAGGCGCGGTGGATGGGCGGCATGTACTGCGATAAGTCCTCGTTGGTGCCCAGCCTCATCTTCACCTGCGCCGCCGGCCGCATCGGCGCCGCCGGTTGCGGCGCTCCCCGTCGCGCGTCAGGTACTACACGCTCTTGCGGCTGCGACTGTTGCTGCTGCTGCTGCTGCTGGGCATAGGTGGGGAAGAGCACAGGCATGTGCTGCGACGTATCCTCGTTGGTCCCCAGGCGGATGGAGTGGCCGCTGCCGTTACTTCCAGGGCTCCCCACAAACATCGTGGAAAGTTACTATACGCCACTGCGGTCGAAATGGAGGCTAGCTGAAAGAGAAGTGAGAAGTAACCTAAAACGACGAGTTGAGAGTTCACCCAGGAGCGGTGGGGTCTTTCAGTAAAACGACGAGCAACCAGCACCACAATTGGCGGGTCAGCGATGACTTGGTTGAGGGGAGGATGTACCCAGTTGGCGGTTAGCCCGGGGGGAACACTGCACAAACAAGAAAGATCCGCAACACCTGAAAAGCGCCAATAGCAAACCACTTACTGTTTGCGAAAAGTGAATTTCATTGGTGCAAGCGCTTGCTCCCCTTCAAACAAGGTCGCGCCACATCATTCGCAGCTACATTGCTGCCAAACAGATCCTCCCCGATGATGGACTACAATCGGTGCTCATTTCAAGAATACCAGGTAGGCGGGCGGCAATGGACTGAAACGGGCAGCGGGTATTTCGTCGATCTTCGCCACGTCGCCACGGGCAAAAATGGGACTGAAAAGTAAAAGTGGGACCTAGTAAAAGTCGCTGTAACTCGGTCAACCTTGCTAAGATGACGTATGCGACGGGCAACCTCTGTTGTTTCTGAACTGTTGACGTCGATCTTCTGCAACGTGGTGACTCTACCCCAATGCTCGATTCAGTCACTCACGGGCAAAAAAGTTCGCGAGTGACTGTTTTTTTTTATTGGGATGACCTTTGGACACTGGATAAGGTGAGCATCGACTGTAGTCGCTAAGACCCATTAGACCAACTCATTATCCAACTCAGTTACGGGTGCGTGTAAGGAAAATCCCTTTTCCTTACTTCGCATCCCTGCTCAACGCGTACATCACTGTAGCACCTCAGTCAGCACCGTTACCACTCGCGATCCTCGCATCGACAATCATCCCGCCATCTTCGCACATCGCACCCGACCTCACGGCTCGGCTGGTAACCCGCGCTCCGGGCCTCCGCTTCGACACTTTCCCAACCTCAGTCCCAGGCTCGTCGCACGACAACCACAGTCCATTACCGTTACCACTGTAGTTTCGCTATATATTCTTCGCTCATGCCTTCGCTCATTGTATTCTTGCCTTGATAGTGCAATTCTCGTTCGTCCACTCAATTGCACCCGTAACACTTGGTATTCAGAGCCTACGATCTCATCTCGGACCGCATCCACACTTTCGCTTCCCCACTATCTCAATTTTTTGGGGGGGGTAGACGTCTCTCAGCGATACAGCACCGCCGCTCGTAGTGCTCTCTCGTAAGCACGCACGGCCACGACCGAGGCTCTCGCTGAGCTTGCCCGACACCCCCGCCATGGCCGATTTCACGCTCGCCACGTTGACGCAGGAGCAGCTTGATCGTCTCGTGCGTCAACTAGAAGATTCGGCGCTCGAAATCGCGACGCTCACGGCGGAACGTGACTCCGCCCGTCAACAATCCACGGTGAACATTCCGGCGACACCACACGCACCGACAAATGCATCTGCACAATCGGACGAGCCGATCATCATCTCGTCCGGCACACCAACACAACACGACAGCATGGTACAACGCTCAGGCGCAGCCAGTGATGGCGCCGCCCAGCCGATGCCTGGCATGGGGGGAGGCAAGATCGCACCAAGCCCGCGGGAGCCCCAGGAAGCCCGTCGGCACGTGGAATTTGCGGCAACAAGTGGCGAACAGGCCATTATGGCACCAATGCCGCTCAAGCCGCAACGCCCGCCCTGCTTCGACCCAAGCCAACGCGGAGGTCCGACGGTTCAATCGTGGGTCTTCACGATGAACGTCTTCTTCGACGCAAACTACGTCGAGTCGGACGCCGCGAAGATCCGGTATGCAGTTTCGCTGCTAAGGGGCCCCGCCATGGACTGGTGGCGAGTCATCGTGACATCGCCACGCGCCTACGAGCCACCGTCGCACGAGGAAGGGCCCACGGGTCCAGCTGTCACCTGGAGTTCGTTCTGCGAGACCGCCCAATACAGCACGTGGGATGCGTGGTGCGCAGGACTACGGGCGCGCTTCGAGCCGATCGCGGCTTCGATTTCGGCGCGTCAGAGATTGCGCACTTGGCGCCAGCTCGGGTCGGTTCAAGATTATACAAGCGGTTTTCTCGCACTTTGCGAACAGGTCGCCTACATGCACGAAGCGGAGCGGGTGGACCGTTACATCGGAGGGCTGAAGCCGGATACCTCGCACGAAATCATGCTGCGCGGACTCTCTAACTTCAACGAGATTCTCGCGCTCGCCGAGAAAATCGACATTCTACGCCAACCGAGACCGGGGTCCTACTACGGACATCGCCCTCGGGGACCGACCGAACACGCCACTGTACACGCCGTCGCAACGAATGCAGCTGCCGCACCGTTCAAGGGGCGCTGCTTTGCTTGCAACAGGCCGGGCCATCGCAAGAGCGAATGCCCAGAGGAGCTGAGGCGCCGCGGAGCAGAGCAGGGGAGACAGTCTCAGAGGCAGGGAAACGCCAGCAGTCAGTAGAAGTTGGGCCAACTACTGACGAGACTGCCTGCTCGCCCAACCGTACCGACCCTCACCGAGTCACAGTACCGATTAACACCATCGATCGGGCTCGGATGAATAAGGAGGGTACACCGACGGATTGCCCAGTACTGATCTACGGGAAGATACAGGGAGCAGCAGTGAAGATTTTTATTGACGGAGGAGCAAGTCATGAGAAAATGAGAACGAAAATGAATGACTAAGGAATGGAAGTGATACAAATATGCAACCCTAAAAATGAGTACCCCATATAGGCTACCCCACTATAGCCTACACAATATTATAATTTGACACACCCCCATAGGCAAAGTGGGGGAGAACAAGGGGTCACAAGACCAGTCAGGCAAAACAAACAAAGCTTAGGGTGGATCACAACGTCACCACACAGTCCGAGCACAAGGTAAAGGCCACAAGGCCAGTTCACATGCAGGAGTACACATATATATATAAGGCTAAACAAGCAAGAGCAGGTGTATATATATATGTAAGAGTACAAGCAAGGTCAAGGGGTGAGCAAGTGAGGCAAGACAGGCACAAGACCCAGCTGAGTGCAGAAGCGCTGATGATCACAAGGCGGAAGTGCCTTGGTGAAAACATCAGCACTGTTGGCCTCAGAGGCCACATACGCAAGTCGCAACTGACCACGCTGCTGCAAGTCACGAGCAAGAAAGTAGCGGAGAGCAATGTGCTTCGTTCTGTGCTCCAGGCGCTGCTCCCGACACAAGGCTAGCATGGCCTTGTTGTCTACGTACAGCACCGGAGGAGAACGAGGCGGCTCTCCGAGGTCAGTCAGCAGGTAGGTAAGCCAGCGAAGCTCCTGTGCAGCCATGGCCCCGGCGTAGATCTCAGCCTCACAACTGGAGCCGAAAACAGAAGACGAGCGAGTAGCCCGCCACGAAACAGAGCCGGAACCAAGGCTTAAGGTGTAGCCCTGTGACGACCGCTGCGTAGCCTAGTCGTCAGCCCAAGAAGCATCCGCATGCTCAGTGAGGACCACTGGACTCTGCCCTCCAAGCACTAGCCCCATGCCCAACGTACTGCACAAGTAGCGCAACACCCTCTTCGCTGCAGCCATGTGCTCTGGTCGGTGTCTACCAGGAGCAACATAGCGTGCGAGAATGCTAAGAGGGTATGCAAGGTCAGGTCGTGTGCAGGTCATCAGGTACATGAGGCAGCCAACAAGCTCTGGGTACGGGCCACTCGACTCTACGGACTCATCCGAAGGCAGAGCTGAGAGCGAGTGGCGAGTAGACAGAGGAGTGGCCTGAGGCGAGGAGTACGTGAAGCCGAAGCGCTGAAGGATCTGCTGCACCATGTGTGACTGAGTCAGGGTAATGGTGCGGCGTGCTCTCTCCCGGATGATCTGCAAGCCAAGGTAGCTGCGCAGTTCACCCAGGTCTGTGCACGTGTGTCTCTTCTGCAGCTCGGACTTCACGTGGGCGAGTCCAGCAGTGTCAGCTGTGGCAAAGACCAAGTCTTCGACGTACACAAGGATGTAGAACGGCGGCAAAGAGGTGTCGGTGCGTAGAAACAGCGACGGGTCAGCAGTAGAAAGAGCAAACCCAAGAGCCGCAAGTGTAGTCCTCAGTGTGTCGTGCCACTTGCGCGGTGCATGGCGGAGACCGTAGACTGGCCGTCGGAGGCTCCACTGGGTGCCAGGAGGGAAAGTCCCAGTGAAGCCAGGTGGACGGCGCAACCAGATCTCCTCGTGCAGGCTACCCTGCAGGAAAGAAGTGCTGAAGTTAAGGGAGTGAAGCTCGTAGTCACGCTGAGCGGCTACGTGTAGCAGCACCCGAAGAGTGGTCATCTTCGGGGTGGGAGAGAAGGTCTGAAAGTAGTCAACTCCCTGCCGCTGACTGAAGCCACGAGCCACGTACCGCGCTTTGAAGACAGGTGGAGAGCCCGGCGGCCGCTTCACCCTGAAGATCCACATGCCACTGACGATGTTCGCCCCAGGAGGGGGAACCGCGTCAACGTAGGTGCCCGTGGACTTCCAGGAAGCCATCTCTGCATCCATAGCTGCCTGACACTGAGAGGAGTAGGGATCTTCTACGGCCTCCGCGTAAGAGCGCGGAGTCGGGATGTCTAGTGCATCCGGGTCTCCCTCAGGGGTAAGCAGTACGGACGCGAGATGAGGTGAAGCAGCAGCCAGACACTGGAACTCCTCCTGCCTGTCCTCAAGGACGTCCGTGCCAAGAGCACACTCACCCCCGACGGACGGAGGACGGACAGACGCAGACTCAGCAACAAGACTAGCAGCGTAGTCTAGACGACAGCGAGCAGCAAAGTCGACGAGCTCAGCAACAAGAGCAGACGCAGCAGTGGACTCAAAGGAGGGGGTAGTGATGACAGTAGCAAGGAGACGCGTGACAGTAGGACTGGCAGCACGAAGAGAGTCCGACTCAGGGTCAACAAGCACAGGAAGAGATGACTCAAGAGGAGAGGGAAAGAGGCACGCAGAGGAGCAGTGGACGGACGCAGAGACATCCGGTGCGTGCCAG